GGTCTGCTCCTTTTCGTTTCTTGAGGAGCTCGCTCGCTTTGCTCAGGAAATTGCCGAGCAGTCTTCTGTAGCTGTACCCATCATTGCGGAGGGGGAGGTGAGCTCCACAGAGGCACGGCAGAGGCCCAATAGTGTTGTCAGGGTGGATGGGATGTCGCCGGCTTGGAAATGGACGCCGTGTGTGGAGACGCCACGTGACGAGACGGCGCTGCAGGCCGAGAAGGAGCTGCCGTTGGCACCAATGGTGACATGGACAATAGGAGGAGGAAAAGGAAAAAAAAATGGGAAAAGACGCCACGACATACGGTGCATTGATCTGGAGGCAGAAGACGAGCAACACATGGAAAGCGACTATTGCGGGGAGAGAGACAGCGCCACAGGCTGGGAGGAAGCAGGCTGCGGCATGGACGGTGAAAATGAGGATGCAAAGGCAGTCCAGTATTACAAGCAGGGTGGAGAGCAGGCTCGCACTCGTGACTTTGAGAGGGACAAGGCTGCCCTTCTAGCTGAACTGTGTTGCCTCAAGTGGGATACATTGCAGCAGGCTACCTGCATCAGTCAGCTAGAGCATAAGTTGGGAAGCTGGACTTACGAACATGATGATTTCAAACACGCGCACGGTGGCTACAAGTTCAAGGCAACTACCATTATTCATGAGAAGGACCAACACATTTCTCACCAGAAGTACAGAATCTTTGCTCTGGAGAAACAGCTTGAAAAGTGGCTGGACAGTCACAGCCGCGTCTCTTTGAGGCCAAGACATCTTGTGACAAAATGTACATCGTTGAAGCTGAGATCTTCAATCTGAACTGAAAGATGGCCGAGGACTCGCTGGAGTGCAGTGGCATTGAGAGGCTGCTTGCAAACACTCAGCAGTAGTGCTTCTCAAGGATCAGCAGCAGCAGTGTGCCAAGTTCGAGGGGCAGTCGCTGGAGAGGGACACTGAACTGGCAAACATGCGACACAGCCACGATGAAGAGCTCCAGCGACAGCATACATTCCGAGACTCACAGCAGGGATAAGCTACAAATGCAGGTAGCTGACTTCCATGTGCAGCTGGCCCAAGCCCAGCAGTGCCGCCACCGAGAGACCAGTGAAGTACAGGCACTAACTTTGGAACATAGGAAGAAGGAAACAGAGTGCAAGAAGAAGCATGGATGAACCTAAGGGCTTGAGACTGGGTAGAAGGCTTTGTCAGCAAAGGTGTCCAAGCTATATAAGCAGCTTAGTCTGGCGTCGCGCTCTGAGACGATCCTTATGCACAGTCTGAAGAAGAGTGAGGTTGAACAAGAGGCCATGCGGGCAGAGTTTGGAAAGCTGAATCAGGTACTAGCCTTTGCTGAAACAGAGAACAAGCAGCTGACAGAATAGATTAAGGCAAGGCAGCAGCAAACAGAAAAACGATCCAGGCTGGAAGAGATGGTGCAGCTTCAGGAGTCCTCCCTGGAGAGGGCGACCGCAAAGGTGGGCCAGTTCGAGCAGAAACCTGCAATTCACGTGAGCAATTGCGCCAATGTGTCTGATCCAAAACGCACCATCAGCGAGGGAGGTGTCAGCGCCGGAGGTCTGTACAGCTGGACCTTCGTAGGGGACGTCACACCTCCATGGCTGCCGAGGTCGCCAGCATTCAACGACTCCCACCTGCACGTGAACTGTCTGGATGGTTACAATTATGACATACGACCACGGCTTATGACTCGCTAGGACCGGTGCTGCAGCACGAGCATCAGTGTTCTGTCATGCTCTCGCCGATGACCGTGGTGGTCAACCTGAACGAGTCCATTTCTCCTCCATCTTCAGGCGGCAGCAGTATGTTACCTGTCACTGTGCGACTTAGCAGTTACCGCGTCTGGCGGCCCATAACGTGCCATGAGGAACGAGGCATTAACTGTACCGACGTGTGGCCGCGTACACCACGTGCAATCCACTGTGGCCAAGACTAGCCAGGACATTTGCATGGGCTAGCTCTGTGATGTTGCCGCATCCGTCTTCTCCACTTTTTCCGTGGGGGAGGGGGCAGTATGAGAGTGGCGACTGCGAGCGATTGTGGAAAGACGAGGACAATGACGATCACGTGTGTGCTCATGGCACGCGGCAGCCGCTGGCAGTGGGCAGTTACGGCTCGGATTCCAATCAGTAAACATGGTTTCTGTTGGTCTCTGCCTCTTCCCTGAGGGGTTCTCGGGCTAGCCTCAACCCCGAGTTCTTACAAGGGAAAGTGAGGCTGAGCTATTTTGTACATGGGTTGACTTGTGTTCTCTTTGAAGAAAATGTTAATGGATAGTGAAATGATGTATGTGGCTAGTTGATGGAAGAAAAAATTGGTGGGGGGGCGAGGACTGATGGAAGGATGATAAAAGGAAAAACTTGGGGGATGCTTGAACTTTGTTTTTAAGAGCAGAACACGATAACGTAATTGGGACCCTGGCACATCGCTTTCTCAATAGCTAGCCTGGCTTCAGTTCTCAGTACATGTCTCAACCGTGCCATAAGAAAACGAGTGACTTTGTGCATAACGTTGGCTGTTTCAAACTATTCTGGAAAGTCTACTGCAAGTACAGTTAAGTGCTCACTACAGGTCTGTAATGCGGGATTCACACGAGGGAGAAATACATGGATAAAGGCGGAGCCTAGTGACGTCAACAGGCGAGGATAAGTCCCCCCAAATGTCCCTCGCTCATATCGACGAGGTGAACAGTGGGGAAGATCAGTGGGCCAGAGCCTCCACCATATAAGGGAGTGGGAGCACTGAAGAATTCTTTGACCCCCAGTCATAGATATCGGCAAGCTTTCGTTTTGGAGAGGGCAGGGAGGGGTTCAAAGTTGCATTGCGTCTTAACTGGAGAAGGAGGAAAGTGCTGGTGTGGTTTGAGGCAAGTGCCCGTTTTGCCCCCCCCCCCCCCCCCTCCCCGCTGCTGCTGCTTTGCTGCTTCTAGAACCTTTCTTGTTCATATGTCTCTTTTTTTTTTGTGGAATGCAGATGCGGCGTTGCCCTTAGTTTGACTCGCCACCACAAGCTTTTCTTTTTTTGCAAAAACAAACTCACCCAAAGTGACATTCCTGGCAGCGTCATTGAGAACAGCTTTTTTTTTTTTTCCCGACTATGAAATCGCTCACAGGCTCTTTGACTCGTGAAATACTACCATTAAGTCGGTAGATAATAATTTCAGTATCTTTTGATGTCGGTTGGCTTTTTGTAAACGAAGTAATTATGCTATCATAGCATTTCTCTCATGAGGTCAACCGCGAACGGAAGGGATTTCGCCTATTAATATCTGACAATGATCTGTACAAGCGTTTCATTATAATTTCGAAACACAAGGTGGTTGAAGACCACTTCTGTCTTCACTACGCAAACTCAGCCTAAGATTCTCCTGCATCAGTATAGCCGATAAAGTAAAACGTGAAGTATGCCATGTTTCTGAATATAAAAAGCAGCTCTCGAATTCTACGGCTGGCTATAGTTTGAGCGTCTCATCTTGAATAAGGAGGCTCGTTGAAAAATTTTGTTATAAAGTAAGACATCTACATCAGGCTGAACAAGCAGAGCAGTAGCAGCAGCAACAACAAAAGCGGGCGATGTCACAATTCTTATCAGAATAATCACTTTAAAACAAAACCAAATATCACTCCATAGAGATGGTAGTGCTCCATCATCTGCTTGTCTATTGTCTCCCACACACCATTCTTTAGGTTAGCTTTACTATAGTCATCGGAATAGATGTTGTACAAGCGAGGATATTCTTCCACGAGAGAAAAGAAAAAAAAAGTTGTTTCATCTTTCATTTTCGCCATCCCGGTGCACGCAAGTTCAGAGCGTAATTTGGAACAGCTGCCACTGCTGCGTTCTGCAGGCACCGCAGTAGAGAGGGCTACAATCTGGCCAGAGGCCCACCCGAAATTCCGCTACATCCCCTGCTGCACGGGGATCGTTTGACCGGTCGGAGAAACAAGCCCCGCCTTCCCCGAGGAGCCACGAGGAGATCACATCGACACACTAACCCGTGACATCGTTGTCACGTGATGTGCCATTCTCACCTCTCCTCCGGGGATTTCTCCCTCATGTGAATCCCGCTTATGGCATCAGGCAAACCGCAAACCTGTTCACTTGGTTCATGCTTTTGCAACTGGAGATGATTAAATATGTATGAGGGCTTTGTAATGGATGAGCCTTTAGAGCACCCACTCGTTGTGCAATTCACATGTTTTGATGCCTGTCACGATTCTATGCTTCTGTCATGCAATAGTGCATGCTTTACGAAGATTTCTCCCACTATGTGATATTCGGATAGCATTTTTTTCTGAAGCTGTTTCAAGCAATGGTGTGGCTCTATAGTAGGACATGTGCTTGCCATGCGTAGGCCTTGGTTCGGTTCTCACTTGAACTGAAGAGTTTATTCTTTATTTTATTTGAATCTTGATTTTTCGGTCACTAACAATGATGATTTTTTTTTTCAAAACCAACAACACCGACAAAAAAATTTCTGCAAAACAAGCCCTTTAACACTGTCGCATTAATAAAAGGCAACAATAAAAAAAATCAAAAAGTACACTTGCTTGTTGATCTACGTACATCCACTGGTTTATTCTTTTTTTGTCGTTCTTCATTCCTTTTGTCACTGTTATGCTAAGTTATAAAGTTAATCGATAGAATTTGAGAGTTTATTTGTCGTTTCTTCAGATAAACCTGGCAAAGAGATTTTTTCATTTTCATGTGTATGTGTGATCTTGCTGGGAAAGTTATTTTTTTTAACCTTGTAATTTACTTGCACACCTTTAGTGGAGTTGTGTTTTGCAGAAGCAAGAGGAAATTGGGCTGACATTCATACAAAATAAGTTAATACAGATTACTAACAGCTCAGATGTACCATGTGCTTGTTACTGTAGTTATAAGCTACAGTGGTGATTAGTGTCACTGCTGATAGGCTGTACCAGTGTTATGCAAGATCTCTAGCAGTGCCTAGCATTCAAGTTTTTATATTTCTCTATTTCATGTGCAACTGCGGATTTAGTGAAGTCATCCAATGGAGACAAAGATGATCAAGTCAACGGTCCTCCACGTCGAGTCAAGGATGATGATCAAAATGCTGCAACTAATTCGCAAGTTGAAAACAACGTGAAAGCTCCTGTGGGTGGCAGCCAACCCCCAGTGACTACCAAAGTCGAGGAGACTCCACCACCAATTACGCCTACACAAACTAGTACTCTTCAGAAGAAATTTCAGCCAACTGAACCACCTCAAAGTGAGAACACGTATTTGGTACTCTGCTGTGTTTAAGATATTTCCAAGTTGATGTATAGTGTGAGAAACTTCAAAACACGTTTGAAGTCAAGTCAATAGAATGGGGGATTTTCTCTTAATACAGTTAATGAATTTTGGGTTTAATACTTGCAAGTTTTATTTTTCTAGTTTCAAGTACTATGTAAAATGCCAAGCAAGCGTCCCCCCCCCTCAACGGTTAAGGGTAATCCTACCAGATTTGGGAAGGGGGCGCTCTTTGGCACTTATTTCAGATCTCCACAAAATGGTAGGGGGGGGGGCGCTTGCTTGGCATTTTACGGTAATAATAATAATGATGATAATGATGGTGATAATAATAATAATTGTCGAGGTTTTACGTCCAATACCACGATATTGTTATGAGGGACACTGTAGCGGAGGGCTTTGAAAATTTCAACTACATGGGGCTCTTTAACGTCCAACCTAAACCTAAGTACATTGGCTTTTAGCATTTCCCCTTCATTGTTTCTAGTATTAGAAATGAATGTTCTTGAGTTCAGTGAATGTTGTCATGGAGTAACTTTTGGATTAAGAAAAAACAAATGTGAAACAAGAAAGAGACGGCAAAAATGCTAACTTGCAGTTGCCAGCTTGAATCATATCAGCTTCTGTTTCTTCCCAGTGCTTGCTGTTTTCTTTTTCTTCATGACTAACATTTTCTCTGTCTGGTGTTTCTGGTCGTGACATGCCCCTCAGTGTCGGCTGTTTTCTGGGAATATCGGGAAATCTTGAAACACAGAGAAATGGTATGTTTTGAACTCAAGAGGAGAGATAAAGATGAAAAGAACATGTAACAACCTCGTTTACTACTGATGGCGGGAAACAAGGCCGCAGCGAGTGAGTGAGAGCAGTGATCGAGTGTTGTGTTGGTCTTTTGTAGAGACAATGGCGAGCACCTCTGAATTTTATGCACCATAGCAAACACATCAACAGAATAAAAAAAAAATTGCAGCATACTCATGAAGTGAATGATGTGTAGCGCCACCGACATCATCGGCATCGCGTCACGAAGGAAGACAAGGCTGGGCATGATCTCGTGCGGTGCGGTAGCAAGGCTCGCGCAAGGGGCGTAGAAAATAAAGAAGTCACTGTAATATTCGCTGTAGCGATAGAAGGATGTGTCAAGTCGTTTTCTCATGTGTGCTCCTCAATTGGTGACCGTAGACATTTGCATCAACTAGTAACTTGTGCCCGATCAAATAAAAAGACGAGGAGTCATGTAAACCACCGGCAACAAACGTCGGCAATCTTCAACCAACCCGGCGGGGGCCGAGACTGATTCAACTGCTACGGGCTATTGTGAACACCATCCGACTGCCACAGTTCTGGGAACAGAACCCCTCAGTATGGTTCATCCAAGTAGAGGCTCATTTTGAACTCTCGCGAATTACGTGCCAGACTCTCAAGTACTTCCTTGTGGTCGACGCGCTTCCAGCGACCATCATCGATGAGGTTTCGGACCTCCTGCATTTGTTCACGCACACCCTACTGAAGTAGCGGTAAGACTTAATCAAGGTCGCTATATTGGTCTGCACAGCTCCCTTCAAGCACATGTGGTCGCAACAGCTACACTCAATCAAACAACTCGGCAATCGATGGCCAAGCCAGCTCCTGCGTCGACTCCGTAATTTTCTAGGTCTATATGCTTTCATCACGGATAGCACATTCGTCCGTGAGCTATTCCTTCAGCGCTTGCTCACCCAAGTCCAGATGGTGCTGGCCAGTGCTTCAACCTAGAATTTGTCAGAGCTCGCTACATTGGCTGACAAGGTTATCGAAGTTGCCTATCCACTTCCCATGGTTGCAGCTGCACTTTTGTCTTCAACATCGCACGCTGTTAACCCTTCACTGACAAAGCTTTGCCTATCCACTTCCCATGGTTGCAGCTGCACTTTTGTCTTCAACATCGCACGCTGTTAACCCTTCACTGACAAAGCTGCCCAAGCCAGCATCAACATCATTTCCTGTCGCTCAGTTCTGCGATAGACTGGAGAAGCTTCTCATTGCTTCATGCACAGGAACGTTTCTCCTTCAAATCGACGTCGCCGTTCCCCATCTTCTCAACGCTGCTCATTCATCAAGCGCCAGTGTAACGGTCAAGCACAGCAGTCTGACATGTGCTGGTATCACCGCCGTTTTGGTGCCCGCGCACGTCAATTTCTCCTCCCTTGTGCCTGGTCGGAAAACCGTTTGGCCGACCACTTGTGGCGACGAGCAGTCACGAGCCCACCCCATGTCACCTCTTCTATGTCAACGACAAGGTCACTGGGCAACACTTTCTAATCAACACTGGCACACAGGTCAGCATTCTACCCGCTACACGTATGAATCGTGCCGCTACTACAATGCTGTTCTTGCAAGCTGTGAATGGAACACACATTCCAGCATTTGGACAACGCTCGCACATACTCAACCTGGGATTACAGAGACTATTTTGCTGGCTGTTCATGGTCACTAATGTTCCTTCTGCCTTTATCAGTGCTGATTTCCTCATCGACCATGGCCTCATTGTCAATGTCAAGGGACATCTACTCGACAAGACAACTTACTTCTCTGTGAAAGACATTGCTGTGCCAGAAACCACAGATTTAGCTCTCTCTTGTGCAACGACTTACAATTTACCCTTCACGGCTTTGCTACGAGAATTTCTGTATATCACCACAGCGCCTAATTGTAAAAAAACAGTGTGCCACGACGTACATCATCACATCATTACCTCTGGACCTCCTGCCTTTTTTCGGCCGCAACGACTTGCTCTGGACAAGCTCAATATTGCACTTGCAGAATTTGAATATATGCTGGAATTAGGAATTATTTGACCATCCACAAATAACTGCGCAGCTCCACTCCACATGGTGCCCGAGAAATCGGGTGACTAAGGACTATGCGGAGACTACCGATCTTTAAACACTAAGACAATTCCAGATTGATCCTCGTTACTCAACATACAAGATTTCACCACTACTCTGCACAGTGCCACTATCTTTTCGAAGATTGATCTTGTCCGCGCCTACCACCAAATTCTCGTGGCTGAGTCAGATACCCAAGACGGCCATTACAACACCTTTTGGGCTCTTAGAGTTTCTGCGAATGCCGTTTGGTCTCAGGAAAGCTGCTCAGTCATTTCAACTTTTCATCGACACAGTCACGTGTGGTCTACTCTTTGTCTTTGCCTACGTTGACGACTTCTTGGTGGCCAGTAAATCTGCTAAAGAGCATTTACACCATATTCATTGTCTCCTACAAAAACTGACTGACCACCGCATCGTCATCAACATCTCTAAAAGTGAGTTTGGTGTCTCTAACTTGGTCTTTCTGGTACATGACCTGGACATCAGAGACATCCGCCCACTTTCCTAAAAAATCGAAGCAGTACAGAGCTTCCTGAGGCCCACAATGGTCACTAAGCTGCGGCAGTTCCTCTGCATAGTTAACTTTCACTGCCTATTTATCAAGAACTGTACGGATATAGTGGCCCCTTTGGACTGTCTGCTTATCAGCAAGGACAATAAGGCGTCGCTGCTACCTTGGGACAATACTGCTGAAGACGCATTCATCAAGATAAAAGGCGCACTCGCCAACGCTGCCTTTTTGGTGCATCACAACCCCACGGCGTCTCTCGCCCTCATGAGCGACGTGTCTAACACAGTCGTGGGAGCGGTTCTTCAGCAACGGGTTAACAACTCATTGCAACCTCTTGCTTTTTTCTCAAAAAAACTCAGCCCAACACAAGCTCGTTATGGGACCTTTGGTCACGAGTTACTAGGAATTTACCTCGCCATCCGACATTTTCTCCATTTTGTCTAAGGTCAACCATTCACCATTTTCACAGACCACAAGCCATTGACATAAGCGCTTTGCAAAGAGTTGTCGACGCACACCCCACGAGAAATCTGCCATCTCCTGTTTATATCAGAATTCTCGACCGACATCCGACACATCAGCGGTAACCAGAACATACCTGCCAACACTCTCGGCCGCGTGGACGCAGTGACATCAGCTGCAACTTTTGTGCCACTCGATGTGCAGACGCTCGCAGCACACCAACCTAATGATCCCAAGCTCGAAAAACTGCGCTCATCTAAAACAGGTCATCAATTGGACGATCTCCTGCTCAATGGTGCCAATCTTGACTGTGACACTTCAACAGGCACACCTAGGCCCTTTGTACCTAGTATGCCACGCCATCAGCTTTTCGACATGCTGCACCAGCTCGCTCACCCTGACGTTCATGCCTTGCAACGCCTCGTTTTAACACGCTACGTATGGCCCCGGATGAATGTAGATGTACGCGACTGGGTACGTCCGTGTACTCCCCTCCAACATGCCAAAGTCCACAGGTACCCCGTTCCCCCAGCTGGCAAGTTTCTGCAGTCTGACCATCGTTTTGACATAGTCAACATTGACATTGTCAAACCACTCCCACCGTGTGGTGGATTTCACTACTTGCTCACAGCTGTCGACAGACTTTCACGTTGGCCAGAAGCGACTCCGCTTCCAGACAGCTCTGCGGCAGCAGTATCAGCAGCATTTGTCACAACATGAAGTGCGTGTTTCGGATGCACTACTAAAATAGTTACCGACAGAGAACAGCTATTCGAGTCTGCCCTTTTTCACGAAGTCCTGCACTTGCTTGGCACACAGTGTCTTCGCACGGCCGCCTACCATTCCCAGTCAGTAACCTTGTGGAACGCTTCCATTGACAACTCAAGCCAGCAGTGACTTCCCATGGCACACCATTACAATGGGTTCAACGTCTGCCACCAGTACTTTTGGGTATCCGGAGCGCCTTGAATTCCTCTCCCATGTTCCGCCAGTCAACTCAGTCTTGTAATTTCTGCTGCCACTTTATACCTGCAAACTTCTTAATCTCATCTGCCCACCTAACTTTCTGCTCCCCCTAACCCGCTTGCCTTCTCTGGGAATACAGTCTGTTACCCTTAATGACCAGCTGTTTTCCTG